TTATATTTAATTTGGTGTAGTTCGGTAAATAATCACACCAAACTAAAAAAATTAAAATCCAATCTTTCAAAAAATAATAAATGATCCGCACCACAATATAGAAAAAAGCCGAATCTAACAAAAAAAAAATAAATACACTGGAAAACCGAACCAAACTGTGCTGAATATCACGATTCGACTTAGTTTTTAGATTTCAAATGAGTTATGTTCATCCCTAATTGATATAAACAAATAGCCAATTACCAATAGGCTCATTTTCCTTTGGATTAGTTATTTAACGGTCTCCTTTTATTCTCTCTTTTCCTTCTTCTTCCTCTTCTAGCTTAGGTCATGCTGATGGGGAGATGATGAAGTAATAGTTAAATGCCACATATGAATGTGTACTTATTTCTAAATGGACTCGATAATAACATATAATGGGGAACACGTATGATAGAATAATGGATTAAGTTTGTGATGATTTGCATGGGTCAAACTATTTTCATTATTAATATTGTCAACTGAAGGCCAAGAGTGAAATCTCATACTGATTTTGCATTGTGAGTGAAATCTCATACTGATTTTGATCGTGAGTGCCTGTCTGCCATTGATTTTGAACTATAATTTTGTATGGAACATTCTTCGATAAACCCAAAAACTCTTTCATTCCTATTGTCTGATATTCCTTTATTCAATTTGATCTACTTTGAATATTAATCATCTAAAAGCAATCCAAAATTTTCAGACCTTAACACTCCATTGTTCGAATAGAATTCGAAACGAGTCGAACCGAGTCAAGTTCGATCTCCTGATTCTTGACTTCAATCCTAAACAAGTCAAGTTGTATAAAATTAAATTAAAAATCTCTATTTTTGAGCCTAGTGAACCCAACCAAGTTCACCGCCGGCGGCTAATTTCTATGTAAAATATTATGCATTCTACATTATTTCACTTTTATGTACTAATTGAACCACCCCAATATCTTAATTGTTATGAGTAAATTTTTTTATGTTATTTTTGGACTTTATGAGTCGTTTAATTGTCTTTTAGGATCTTGGGTCAAGTTGATTTAAAGGGTTTGCAAACAAATAATTATATGTATGTTAATTTATATTTTGATGTATTTAACAATCTTATCAAGTGTCAAATTATTTGTAGGTAGTATCTTATGTAGTACAAGTAAATGAACATTTATATAGTTAATTAACATCCAATTATTTAAAGTGATTAATAACATTTGTCTTCCTGACCAAATCGGGGATGTTGACAAAATTAATTGCTCGATTAGACCACCGTAGTTAAGAAAATCGTCACATAATAATAATAAATTTTATAAAATAATCAATTCTAATTTAACATAGAAATGGACAAAATTAGCTGTTGGATTAGACCACCGTAGTTAAGAAAATCGCCACATAATAATAATAAATTTTATAAAATAATCGATTCTAATTTATAACATAATAATATCTAAATTCCACATAATAATAAATTCTAATTTATAACATAATTTCTATAATAAATAAAAATTTGATTTGTAANGGCGGTACCGGCTGTCCACGCAGTCGGTTGGCCGAATTTTTTTTCTTTTTTTTAGTGTTTTGTAAAATTTTAAGGGTAAAACGGTCCAAGGGGGACGGTAGGTAGTAAAAATGGACAGTATTTAGTAATTGAGATTCTACAATTATATATGTGTATTACAAATGCACAAAATGACTATTTCTTTTTGTAGCATGCAGTGATAACAATCATTGCTTTAAATATAGGCATGAAAATATGAGACATATATATTTCATATCAAAATAAAATAAAAGCTAAAATTGAGTTTCACAATTATATAAAAATTTAGAAACTAGTTTGTAAGCTCGACTTGTTAAAGTTTGAGTTCGTTTAGCTTAAAATACATAAATATTTTTTTTTTGTAATATTCTAAATTATAAACAAATTTATATTAAATAAAAGTATAATATATCATAATATAAATATATGTTTTTATTAAAAGAAACTATCAAGATAAAACAATCTAACGATCATACCATACAAGATTTTATGTTGCTATATATATATATTGAAAGAGCTATATTTTTGGCAATGAAGTTTAAAAATTAATATAAGTGAAGATATATTCTTGCAAGCATGAGAAATAAAAAAGGAAGTTCTTTTATTTATATTTATATTTATATATTCGAATTTATTTATATTTATATTTATATATTCGATTTATATACATATATATTAGATTTGCATGATCTTATTATGGATATATTTTGTAGGAAATCATGTAAGAAGGAAAGATCTTTGGAAAGAGAAGATAGAGATCTACACCTACCATATCTCTTTGGATAAACTTGGAAGGAAATCAAAAACAAAAGGAGTCTTATACTTGGAAAAGACTCCAACCCTAAGGAGGCTGTATATATACCCACTTAAAGCTCGAATTTGGAGAGCTGAGAGCATTATATTCTATTCCATATTCGAGCTGCAAGCTTTTTGTGTTTTATTTTCGTTGGTCAGTTTTCGGTGTTCTTACGTCATCGAAGAACTGAAGTCTGTTTTGTTTTCTTTTCTTTGTTTTTCATTCAAACACTTGTGTGATCAGTGCTTAGGGATTAAGTGTTGTCTTTAACTCGAGGGATTCGAGAGGTAAAATCCACGAAGTCTGTTTTGTTTTCTTTTCTTTGTTTTTCATTCAAACACTTGTGTGATCAGTGCTTAGGGATTAAGTATTGTCTTTAGCTCGAGGGATTCGAAAGATAAAATCCACGAGACGTGGTCGGAGAAGTAGTTGATATAATCGTGTGTAGTTGTGGCTAGGCTAGAAGGGAGTTCGAGTCGTGTAAGTACAAACTATACAAGTGTGCACAAACGGTTTATTAATGAAAGAGCTATGAGGGGAAGTGAGACTCTTCCCTGAGTTTTTAAATCTTCGGTTTATTGCTTCCGCTATTCTAGTTGTTTATTTGTGTTCTAACAACGTTGAGCGCACTCGTTACAAAATACCTACGTTTCATATATGATATATCAGACCACTTTATTAGTGTCATAAAGGTCTTAAAACGCATCTATGATAAAATTTCTCTGCAAACACCACAGAGAACAGCAAAACAAAACAAAA